TTTTTTTTTTTTTTTTTTTTTTTTTTTTTTTTTTTTTGTGAAAGGGAGCGAGCGGGAAGCAGGGTGAAATTTCTGCTGAGGAAAAGCCCTGGCATTTTCCAAATGAATTTATCAAAGCTTCCTACAAGGCTGCAGCTGCTGTTTCTGGGGAAGCCAGCAGCCTCGGAAAGGCTGGAGGGGAAGGCAGGGGCGTTACCTGTGAGGCAGGGTAGTGGGACAGCCACCTCTCGATGTGCACAGCGTACCATCCCGGGCTCAGGCACCGCTTCTGCAGAGCCCTGATCTCCGAGGGCGCCCAGGGGCCCGACGTGATCACTTCGTAAAAGTTGAATTTCAGGGCAGCGGGGTCCTCGTGGGAGCGCTGGTGCTGCCGGGAGATGTTTGGGGGCACGTCACAAGGATGCTGAAGGTTAAGCCTTGAAGCTTCCCAGAGCTGTGCTGGCAGCCCTGGGCTCCCCCTCAGTGCCACCTGTGCCAGGTAAGAGTGTGTGTGGGGGGGGTTTAAGGCAGCAGGATGGGGCCACCGTTCAGCTCCCACCCTGGGAGCTGAGGAGTCAAATCCTGCCAAAGCAGGCACAGATTTTTTTACTGCTTTGCAGTGGCAGTTGTAAAGGTGCAAATGAGAGAGTAAAAGGGTGCAAATGAGATATTAAAAGGGTGCAGACTGCAGCCCCAGGCCATGCTTTACTGCTTGCAGAACTTTCTAACCACTAGAAGTGGTGGTATTTCATGCTTATTGCAACATGATTGATTTGTGTCTGTTCTGACATTGCTTTTAGTCTTTCCTTTATCTGCAGGCCTACACCATATTTCACGTGGAGGCCGAAACATTTCTCTCAGAGGAGCTAGCTGTTTGTTAGGGAAAGGTGTGTGCTCAGTGAAAGGCAAGAAGGAGCATCCTAGAGGTCTCACGGGAGAACAAGAGGCTTGCTTTTGTTTCCAAAGGGAGAAGAACCAACCTTATCCAGGCACAGCTCTTTTGAGAAACTTCAGAAGATGCTGCACACGTGTGCACAGCCAAGTATTGCTGAGCTCACGGGAGGCAGGGGTGAGGTGCCAGCTCCTCAGCATCCAGAGCTGTGATTTCCTGGCTGGGCCACGCTCCTCTTCCCCATGTACCTCCCTGGGGGAGGAGCAGAGCTTTCCCTCCCTGCGCTGCCGGCAGTAATTGAGATGAAGCTGCTTGTTTACTGCTGGTGGCAGCTCCGTGCTGGGAACTCTCATCATTTGCGACACCGGTGTCACAGGTGCCCACTGCGAGAGCTGGCACTCAGCACCCTCCCGCTTCCACAGGCTGCGGGTGCTTTGCAGGAAATCCCGTTCCTTGCTCAGGGACACAGATCCCCATCGATGCTGGCCGTCATCCCCCACCACCAATCTGCTCGTACCTGGTACCAGGAGTACGCCCGGTCGGACGGGTCGATGAGGATGGTGATGATCTTGGCCTTGGGGATGAGGGAAGCAGCTCTCTTGGGAGCCTCCTCAGAGTGGAAATAGTTGGCACTTTTCTCGAAGAGGAGGTCGGTAGTGACGTTGGAGGGAGTGGGGAAGAAATCCATGTACCTGGGAGGG